CAATCACAAGGGGGACAAATAATAGAAAAGTGGGAGAGGGGAGACAGAGGACGATGTAAGATATGTAAATAATAATCTATAACTTATCAAGGGTACGTGAGGGAGGGCGGGCGGGGGAGGAAATGGGTAACTGATATCAGGGGTTCAAGAGTGAAGGGAATAGTTTGAAAATGATGATGTCGGCATATATGCAAATGTGCTTGACACACTGGAGAAATGTATGGATTGTGATAAGAGATGTAAGAGCCCCCAATAAAAGTATTTTTTAAAAATCATCTTGGCTCTTTTTCACCTGTACCCCTACAAGAAAGCTTCCGAAACACCTGAGTCCTATTGTGGTCCTCTGGACCAAACTTATGTAATGAATTGTCAATTACTGTGAGTTGTGATTCCTATCTACAGCTGTGCATTGGATGAGAAGGCCAATTTCCCTACAAGAAGAATGACCTACAGTAGTTCTTTATCCCCTCCAATGCTTACAATTAAACACATGCTCAAATGCTACCTGTGAACAGATTTCCCCTGGCTCTGGGTGTATTCTCACATGAGGGGTAAACACACGTCGTTGCTATGAAGTCGATCCGGGCTCAAGAGTAGAGCTGCTCTCCGCAGGGTTTTCAGCGCCTGCCTCGTGGGAAGGAGAGAACGATGCATTTCTGCTGAGAACCCTCCAGCCTCTCGGTTACGCGTGGAGCACATTAACTATGTGGACCACCCCAAACCCACAACCAAACTCACAGCCACGACGCCAATTGTGACTCAGGAACTCCGCGGGACAAGGTACAACTGTCCCTCGGGTTTTCCCAGACTAGGGCTCTGATCCACAAGACAGTAGAATCTAGAGCTAGAGTAGAAAGCGTCATCGTGCTCCTGCTGTATGGGCCAAGGAGCTCTGCCTCATACGAGGACTCAGCAGGCTGTTTATGAAATATATCATGACACATGACTGCTTTCGTGACAATTCCTGTACACTGTAGCGTAGGATAAACTAGGGATAGACTGAGCTGTTTTTCTTTAACATGGCTAGGAAGAACCACCAAAATATATGATAAGGCTCTAGATTTTGTGCGCATGACTGCTTAAACCACCGCAGATGTAAGACTGCACGGCAAAGTGGTACGGGGACCGTGTGTTGTTAGCTCCTTTGTAAACCTCGTAAGAGCCTTGGTGGTGGTGAAGGGGTTCCTAGGTGAGCTGCGATCAGAAATGTCAGCAGTTTGGAACTACCAGCTGCTCTTCAGGAGAAACACTTGGAAACCCACAGGGACACTTAGACCCTGTCCTATAGAGCGATATCAACTCGATGGCAGTGAGTTTGCTGTTTTATAAGCCTCAGCTCTGCTCACTGCTACTGTCACAGCTGAGAGGGAGAGAGAGCACTACTATCAGTCAGTGTCTGTCCGTAACTGCTCTAATCTCACCATCACTGGTCATTCCTGTAGGATTCAGCCTAGTTTGATGTCATCCTGATAAGTTCCGTTAAGTGGTTCTCTTTGGCCGTAAAGATGCGGAACCTTCACTTACTGGCATTTACTGCCCTAGTAAGAAACACTAGGGACATATAAAGGACTTGCTAGTATTGCTGTGGTGTAGTGGGTTCCATGTTGGGTTACCAACCACAAGGTTAGCAGTTTGAAATCAGCAGCTGCACTGAGGGAGAAAGATGAGGCTTTCTTGTCCAGTAAAGAGTCACAGGCTCAGGAAACCATTAGGGCATATGCTACCCTGTCCAGTTTTGTTGCTGCGGGTTGGAAACGGCCTGAGGGCAGGGCGCTGGTCTGTGCCCCACGTTGGGAACATTCCCACTGGCTTTACTGAGTGTACCGAGTACTTGGCTTCTTGCAAAACACGGGAAACAGTGTTTCGTTTCGTTTCATTTAATAAATCCCAGGCAACTTTCGGGGGCTCCTTGGCCCAGTGGTTAAGTTTTCAGCTGCTAACGAAATGGTTGGCGGTTCAGAGCCCTCATCAGTCCCATGGGAGGAGAGACCCGACCATCTGCTCCTGCAAAGGTCACACATTACAAGCCCCATGGGGCGAGCAGTCTGTCTGCCGCACGAGGCTGCTGTGCGTCAGACTGACATCGCTGGCAGTAAGTTTGCTGGCGGTTGTCGCATCAGTTGCCTTAAGAAGATCCGTAGCTTTGCCCGAGTGCTAGTTGTCTCGAATAGACTCTTGGCGCTAAGGCATGCCTGTTTCTATGACTCGCTTACTCGCAGAAGCTTAGGTGTAACAAAAATGCTTCCAGAAATCTAGTCATATTTCCCAAAGAAATTGATGAAGGATGCAAATGACTGAATTTGCCCCATTCTCAAAATTCCTTTAATAAACGATGTAGGAAAAAAAACCTTTGCAAGACAGTGACATTAAAAGGCTATGCATTACCCAGCAACGTTAAAGAGAACGTCGAGTCTCTCAATTTCACTGGCGAACTGATCGATTTGTTTCTTCTTCGTAACATCAAGTACCCGGGTCTGAATACCTGAAAAATAAAATCAAACACAGGGCTTACCCAGACTCAGAATGGTCAGCTGTTTGAAGTGTGGAGAGGGCAGTATCTGTCCACGCAGGATCGCTGGCCCTTACTACGATGTTTCCATGCACCTTGGGAGTTCTATGCGCCTTGGGTGGTGCAAACAGCTAAGAGCTCCGCGGCAATCGCAAGCTTGGAGGTTCCAATCTACACAGAGGCCTGGAGGAGAGCCTGGAGATGGACTGCGGGCTGAGAAGAAAACCCTGCGGAGTGCAGTTCTGCTCTGAGCCACACGGGGCACCATGGGGCTGAAATGGCTGCATGGCAGCTTCTCGTTCTCTTTGTACATGGCCGTCTTAAGAATTTTTAAGAATAAAAGCGAAAAGGGTGAAAATCTTAAAGTCCTCCGCAACGTAACACTCAGCCCTGTCCGTTTAATCCCCTCTCTCCTCTGAGGAACGACTTTACAGCGCAGGAAGGAGGCTCCGTAGCTCTGCTTCTCAGGACCCTGCAGGGTTTGGGGGGCGTGGGCTCCCTGGGGCACATGCTGCCTGCAGAGCACGGGCGGAGGGAGGTGTGAGCTCTATGAGCGAGGCCAGGGTGGGGACGTCATCTTCACGATGCGCGATGCTGAGCGATGGCTCTGTCGGGCAAGGGTGTCCTCGCTTTTTGTTGGACTAAATCGCAAGGAGAAAAAACAGGGAACCCCCAAAGAAGGGATGAAACCATTTGAAGGCAGAAATATATATGGGGTCTGGTAGGTCTCTTATAAAATATATACAGTATCGTCCCTCTCGGTAGGGCCCCACGGAACGGAGTAAATCCAGGGCGCAGTGTGGCACTGAGGAACCACTAACTGTCCTCTACTTCTGCACAACCCCCCACCCCCCACCCCGCCCGGCGTGCCCCCCCCTACTACCGTGGCCCGGGCAAGTGATCTACTTCATTGGTCATGGTAGACTTGTGTGCGTTCATTTAAGGTACATGGGAGTCAAGAGAGATGGCCCCTCAGAGACACTGACAGGAGCAATAGTTCCTGAAGGGGAAGTGAGGGGTGGGGAGGAAGGGGGAGAGGGGAGCTGATGCATTGATGGTTGTGTACAAGGGCCTCCCCGCTGGGACTGAACAACAGAACTATATGGGAAGGGAAGGGATATATTGGAATGCATAAGCAATGTCAATAAAAGTATTATTCCAGGAAAAAAACCCCAAATGTACATCTTATACGAACTGCTAAAGGAAACCCAACATTCTGTAGGGAGAGCAGCAATTGTTCTTTTTTTCCCCCCAAGAGAAAATTTGTATTACAGGTGGCAAAAGGGATGTAAAAGATGTAAAGCAGAAAAGGTGGAGGGAGAGAGCGCAC